TCCAAAAAGCGCCCCACCGTTTTCGCAACCAGCACAGGTGAGTTAGTTGACTGGTGGATGAACTGTTCACCTTTTGAAATCTCCCCAAAATTTACAGTGGGTCCCTACTACACATGACCTTTATACCAATATTCCTCACTATTTTTCTCTATTTTTGTCTCTATTTTTCTTTTCTTTTCTTTTACTTTTCCTCCTATGTAGCCTTTATTTATGAAGGTCTTCTTAGCACGGGCCCACAATTGTTTGGAATAAAATAATAACAGCTTAACCTTGCTTTGATTTTTTTCATTATGCTACACCCCAAGTATTCAGCATAATCAACTTATGAGGATTGTTTTTTTCAAAACTACTTAATTTGAAGGGTTTTAGTTCGCGAGCTCGTCTAACCTCTGTAATGGTGAAGTGTCGCTGAGCAATGGTGGGACCCCAACAATGCTTCGACCAGAGGACAGCCTCCTACGGCCACACGATCTCGAATCAAATGGGAAAAGAGTCGAAATTCAGGTACAGTCACCTTTTCATCAGGGTTTTGGGTGAAACATGGAATGAACAGGGTGCTTGAGGTCACACTCAAACACCTCAGCAAGGGGGTGGGCGAGGGAGGGGGGGGGGATAGGGCGACATGAAACGATATGTAAACCTCCTTCTTCATTCACGTCTCCGAGTACGCTCCGCCTTCCAGATATTGCAGCCATTGTCTGTAGTCGAGATATTCAAGGCCCAAAAGCTTTGGAGTAAGAACCATGCTTCATTTCTCCTTAGCGGCCCTCTAAATAAAAAAAGACGAAAAGGTCGATCCGAGGTTCGATTCCCCGTGATGACAGAGTTTGCATTTTCGCTTGGCGCATGCATTATGTTAGCCGCAGCTAGTGATGGATGCCTTTTCACCACAAGGGTTATCAGGAGGATACCACTGAGTAGGTTGTGACCAAAATCTGGTGCCAAAAGGTGTAGCGCTTGAGCTTTTCAACCCCCTTTTTGTCTTCACAGTAAAACCCCAATAGCTCTCTGAAAGAGACGTATTCATTCCTATGAAAGAGTCCTGCTCTAAATTTGGATTGTTTATGTTCGGCATGGCCTGCAAATTATGTATAACATTAGATTGACGCATAATTCCGTAATGCTTTCTCATTAACACGAAATCGTCCTGAATAGGAAACGTTTCGGCGATGACTTCGGCATGTTTTCAAATAAGTTGCGCACTATTAACTCTCTACGGTACAGAAATCAAAAAGAAAAGCAGTCGAGATGTGAGGGGTTGTTCCAAGTACTTTGGTATGCGCCACGCATCCGAATATTCAGTGCTTTCGAAGAAAGGTTTCGTTGTATGACAGAGAAAAGTGAAAACGCCATTTTTGCAGGGTCGGCCGCTGAGTAAAAGCACAGGCGGAAGTCGTGTGAATGATCCCCTCTGATCTGTAGCATAGACCCCAGAAGGCAATCAGGTGACGCACTCTCGTGCGCGGAAATCACCCGACAAGAGCGTTGGGTCTTGCAAGGACCGCTTCCACCGCTTCAATTTTCCCCGTCTGCAGCAGGCTGTTGTTGACGCACGTCTCATCTATCGCGTTATCTCACCTCATACTCCCTCTTTACGCGCAGCCTCTCATTGCCTTTGCACAGCCACAACACGAGGGTTAGCAGGACCTTGACGTAGGCGTTTCCGACGTTTTCTGTTTTCCTGTTATCTTTATTGCCGGTCAATTTTGCAGCGACGATTTGAGATTCAAGCCGAGAATTACAACGGTTTGGCTTGGTCCTGAGCTATGCCTTTAAATCCACGTTTTCATTCTGTTACGCAAGTTTAGTTTTGCAATTTGGACCAAAAAGTCACCAGGGTTAGT